GAGCTGCATTTGCAGGCCCAGAACCTCTCCTCCGACTCAGCAGGGCAGGGCCCGGCTCCCCGCACCACCCCCCCGCCCCCAATCACAGACCCCTCTCCCCAGGCTCTAGGGGTTATAATGTTTGCTTCATCTGCCCATCGCCCACACTGCTGTCCTCTGTTTTGCCTTCCCCCGCCCCGAGACGTCATAAACTGAGGTGCTCAGGAACTGCTGAAGGAATAAGAACTATCCTGTCCTCTCCAGAGACTGAAATGTCAAAGTCTCCCATTTTGCGGGCTGTCCGCCTTTGGAAGCCGGGTGGTTTCTTCTTTCTGATCTCCTGTCTCCTCATCTCTGCTTCAAACATCGGAAAACCAAAACTAACCTACATAAGCTGTTGCTGGGATAGCTTGGGTGACTGCCTCAGCTCCTGTTGGACGCGGAGGGCTCGCTGATCTGGGGCACGAGGGAACCCGACAGCAGGCAGCTTCCCGGCTCAGGGCTTGGCTCGCACTGCGCTCTGCGGTCTGCCAGGTCCGAGCACCCAGGCGGTGTGGACTCACGCAGAGCCGGACGACCCAGGAGCGCCATCTCGTGGGCGCCCCGATTGTTGCCTCCGAGAAGGAGCCAGTGTTCTTCTCCGGTTTCCCCCCGCCCCCCAACGAGGGTTCTCATTTCCCATTCAGGGCCTGGGGAAATGCGACAAAAAAATTAGATTCCAGATAATTTAAAAACGGCTGTCAGGCAGACTTATTATGAATAGTCTACCTCTGGATTTAAATAGGGCAAGTGGCTTTTAGCTGCTCTAGATTTCTAGTGAAGTGGTAGCTATTACGTTTTGAACGGGGACTTTCAGATAGCTAATTCTGCATTTCACATGCGTTGGTAAAAAAAGAAAATTTTCCATTCTAGGTAGTACATCAGAGGATTTGGAATTTTTTTTTTTTAAGTCAGTTTTTGAGGCGTTGTTTTTTGCATGAATTAAAAAAAATACACAGTGGCAACTCTTGCTACTGAAAATGTGATCAGCATCACCCAGGAGTTCATTAGAAAAGTATCCTTGTTCCAAAACTCCTGCGTTAGAATCTGTGGTGAGGGGCCCCTGGGTGGCTCAGTGGTTAAGCGTTTGCCTTTGGCTCAGGTCATGATCCCAGAGTGATGGGATCGAGCCCCGTGTCAGGCTCTCTGCTCTATGGAAAATCTGCTTCTCCCTCTCCCTCTTTCTCTGTGCACTCTCGCTCTCAAATAAATAAAATCTCTTAAAAAAAGAAGAATCTGTGGTGAATTGTGGGCCTATTGGCAGATAGGAGCACAGGTTATCGGAGTCAGAGGGACCACCTGTATTTTTGTCCGCTTGCTGGTACCTCCGTCCTTGTCTTGTCTCCCCAGTATGATCACATCCCTTCAGCCTCCATGGCCTACCTGTGACACAAGATCATAGGTTCCTGCCGTGTCTGCTCCTGGGTCAGCCGAGCGACAACTGAAATCATGCACAGCTGGTCACTTTGAATGTGAGAAAAACCTGTGCAGATGTCAGGGGAAACTATGTGTGAGAATTCTTACATTTCCTACTCAGCCGTCCCTGGATAGTGTGCTTTCCTCAGCTACATCACCAGCAGAGTGAATGCTCACCTCTAACTTTCATCATGCCGCCAAGAGTGTCTGGTCAGATTCCACCAAGGTTCCAAAGGGCGCTCTCGAGCTAGTCTTTCCAGAGCTCAGAATAATAAAATCACATTTTATTTTCCTTAATGAGACCTTTCACACATCTTGCCGTCCTGGGGTCTCCGAGCTGTTTTCCCCTGTTGAGCCCAGGATGGGGCAAAGCAGGTACTCAGTGGAGCTTGTTGATGAAACTGCTAATTATCCCTCAGCAAGGACCAGACACTGGCCTGATGTCCTTCCCACTAAGCCACTTATGATCGTCAGATGATGTGCATCGTTAGAGAGACTGACACAGCTACGGGAGGACTCTATCATCTCAATAATAAATACCAATATTCATTAAGGAAACAGACTCCCGATGGCTGAGAAATCCTCTGGTGGTGCTCAGAGATTGAAGTTAGTGGGGTATTAGCTGTTTACAAATACTCCCCCCGCCTTGAAATGCAGGAGGGGTTGGACAAATTAAAAACACAGTAGCAAGATATGACTCTCTTTTCCCTGCATACATTTTTTATTTTTTTAAAGGTTTTATTTATTTATTTGAGAGAGAGAATGAGAACGAGAGAGAGTGAGAACGAGAGAGCACATGAGAGGAGAGAGGTCAGGTGGAGAAGCCGACTCCCTGCCTAGCAGGGAACTGGATGTGGGACTCGATCCTGGGACTCCAAGATCATGACCTGAGCCAAAGGCATTCGCTTAACCAACTGAGCCACCCAGGTGCCCCACTTGCATACATTTTTAAAAAGATTTTATATATTTATTTGAGACAGCGTGTAGAGCAGGGGTAAGAGGTAGAAGGAGAAGCAGATTCCCCACCATGCAGGGAACCCGATGCAGGGCTCGAACCTGGGATCCTGGGATCATGACCTGAGCCAAAGGCAGTTGCTTAACTGACTGAGCCACCCAGGCACCCCTACTTGCATGTATTTTAAAAGAAAAACCAATAGCCAAGAAGCTGTTGGGCAATAAATAGATGAAATTTTAGGAAAACCTATCAGCTGGAAGCCTGAGAATGCTAAGAGATATTAACCTCCTTGTTGCCCCAGGCCTGGGGGGCTCTTGTTCCAAAGAAGTGATACTCATTGTCAGGCAGTAAAACTGAAATACTGAGAAAAATTTGTTACACAGTTTTCCACCTAACTGAGGCACAAAAATATCCAACTCAAATTAGGGCAGACTGTCGCATTGTCTGCAGTTTGTGAAATTACAGATCCTTTTGCCCCTAATTTACTAAAATAGGAAGTGTGTGCTGTTTTCTTTTTGAGGGATTCATTCTGATTAGCAATGTTTCCTCTAATCATTTAAAAGAATTCAGAATGTCGGTGCTTCAAAATTTCCTTCCTTAAAGTTAAAATGTAGTTGTAATGAGTCACTTTGTATAGAAGGGGAAATGCACGTACATGACGCCTGCACATAGAAAGACAGTCTCTCAGAGTCAGGACCTTGCAAGCAGGACCTAGCAGTGTGCAGATCGTCTCTGAAAACCTGACCATCCCAGCGTGCCGCCTGTCAGTGTATTATAAGAATGCATTTAATAAAAGAGTTTAAGAAACACGATGTTACCTTTTTACATCTTTTTTCCAACGTTTTACCTTTAAAAACTTCACATCAAGAGAAAAATGCCAGAATAGGACAAAGAGCACTGATACCCATCTATGGTCACTCATAATAATTAACGTGCTCACCGTATTTGTGTTCTCCCTCTCTTTCTGTGTCCACCCTGCCCTCCCAAACAGGGAGCTGCTCTTAAACAGCCTCGGTAAAATGATCATATTCAGGACAATTTAACATTGATGCTATTCCCAACTAGTACATAATCTTGACTTTTGTCAGTTGTCCTAGTGATGCCTTTATGTCATTTTCCCCTTAACCTCAGATCTAATCCCCGATTCACCTGTCCCATGGAGCCGTGGTCCCCTCGGTGTCCTTTAAAATGGAACAGTTCGGGGCTCCTGGGTGGTTCAGTGGGTTAAAGCCTCTGCCTTTGGCTTGGGTCATGATTCCAGGGTCCTGGGATCGAGCCCTGCATCGGACTCTCTGCTCAGTGGGGAGCCTGCTTTCTCCTCTCTCTGCCTGCCTCTCTGCTTACCTGTGATCTCTGTCTGTCAAATAAATAAATAAAATCTTAAAAATAAAATAAAATGGAACAGTTCCTGTTTTTCTTTGTCTTTCAATGCATTAACATTTTTGAAGAGCACAATGCTTCCTCACAATGCAAATGTGAGATTATGCATTTTGAAGGAAAAAAATAAATGATGATTTTCACAGAGCATCACATTAGTAGGTACCTGATGTGGGCTTGTTCCATGATGTGGGCTTGTTCCATGATGTGGGCTTGTTCCATGATGATGATGGTAACTGATCACTTTGTTAAGGTGATGTCTGCTGGAGTCTCTCTTTGTAATTAACAAATCGTTTCTGGCAGGGGCCGAAGGGTACTCTGACACTGTTAATTCTGTCTCCCAATAAATTTCAGCATCTAGTCAGTTGCCTGATCAGTTATTACTGCTTTGGGCAAAATGGTAATTTTTTTTCTCTTTTGTTTCTTTGCATTTATTAGTTGGAATTCTACTATAAAGAATTCTCTTCTACCCTCTTTCTGTATGTACCTATTTATGTCTTTGGGAGCACCACTAGGGATTTACAGGTTGTTTTAATTTAGTTGGGTTATTACTTATCACTCTTATGATTCATTTTGATACCCAGCTTTGCCCACTGGGTGCCCCTTCAGTCTCACTCCTTGGCTTGCTTGATGCAGCCTCATCAGTCTGTGAATGTCATTTATTCTTTAGCTGTTCACCTGTCTGTATGGAGGTTCTTAACTCAAGTCACTGCCCAAATGACAGATTTTATTCTTGCAACAGATCTTTTTTTTTTAAGCTATTGCTATGCCCCAGTTACTGAACTGACACATGGTCCAGTGGGAAACCAGACCATTATTTCAGCCTTTACAATACAGCAGGTTACAGTAAGGGACACCTTAGGAACATCAGAGCAAAGCCCTTTTATCCCATAGGATTGAATTAAGAAGCTCCTGGGAAAAAGTTTATCACCTCCTAGATGTGCAAGATAAATAGAAATAAACGTGGGAGGAGGCCTGGTGGTTCAGGCTAAGGGAAGCACCTGTATCTTTGAGAAATTCCCACCCCCTGGGGAGCCTGTTAGAAATACTGACAATAGGACCCCATCCCAAACTAATGAACTCAGGATCTCTGGTGGGGAGAGCAGTCCTAGGGCCCATGCATGTTAATTTCTATACATAGCTTCTAGAGAAGTTATCATGAGAAATGGTGTCATGTGTCATAGAGCTAAAATCTTCACAACTAAAATTTTACAAGCTGCATTTTACTTTATAGGATTTTGAACTCAACAACGAACTAAAGATGAATGTCCTCAATTTGCTAGAAGAAGTTTTGCGAGACCCAGACCTTCTTCCCCAGGAAAGGAAAGCCACGGCAAATATCCTGAGGTAAAACGCGGTTGCAGGCACTTCCTAATGACGTGGGTTGATTTCTGCAATGTTCTAGAAAATAAAATCCTGTCAGACCAGGAAGATGGTTCTTAGACTTCTGGGGGCTGCCAGGAGTCTGCTGTCACCGCAGAGTGTGACGTATCTGCTTCTCGTTTCTGGGGCAGGTTGGTGTCTGTGGCCTCAGGACAACCTCTCCTAGGGGACCACATAACTTGTGTGGAGTGCTGGAATGCAGCTGCTCCTGTCCGTGGTCCTACAGTGGCTTCCTGACGAACCAAAAGTGAAAAGGAGGATGCCTTGAGGATCCTCCCCTGTGACCCCAGCAAGCACTGCAGAGAGAAGCAGCTCTCCTGCCGTCGCTTCTGGTTGTTGGTCATAAGCACGTGTTTATGAGCAGGGTGGTAGCATTTCTGTGAGAGTCCCATGCCCCTGGTTTGTGGATGTGGTGCCAGGGGCTAGTTAATATGTTTTCTCCGGCTTGTTTCACTGGTCCCGGACCAGTTTTACTGATGACTTCTTAGGTTGGGATTCCCGCATCATGTAGGTTGTATAAAAGCTGGTAGGTATGATAAAAGCTTGAACTTTGGGTTTCCCACAAGAGACGGTTTGTGGTTGGCATTACACCCAGCATCCAAACAGGTAACAAGCTTTCCTGTAGCTTCTTGAACTGATGGGTGGAGGTTTCTCTAGTCTGCTCTACAGGAGGAGGATGGCCATCAGTGGCTTTGTGCAGACATTTCAGTTACCGCTCTCCCCCTGGCTCCTGGCCATATGGTTAGTCTTACTCGGGGATGGGAAGCCCAGCATCTATCTGCTAGACCTGGTGGCTCTTTACCATTTTGGCTTCTAGTTCCATTTACAATCTTTGGAAAGAGTCCTTTCTTTCTTCTGACCTTGTCTATATTGTTTCTTTGTTTTCCAGAATTCAGTGTATAGAGGGAATCCATCTTAGTTCAGTCTACCATGTTTTCAGAAGCCACTCTCCAAGGCAGCGATGCCAGTATTTTGGCCTGCAACATTTTAGCAATTGGCTCCTAAGTCTTTCTTAGTTCCATCAGTTCAAGATCCCATCACCAGACCCTTCTTTGGTTTAGGGGCTCTTGCTGGTGCAGTGTGTCTGCCCCAAAACGGTGTGTTGACCTTCAAACCCTGAGTACCTCACAATGTGATTTTATTTGGGAATAGGGCCATTGCAGTTGTAATTAATTAAGATGAGGTCATACTGGAGTAACATGGTCCCCTAATCCACTATAACTGGTGTCCTTATGAGAAGATGGCCATGGGAAGAGAGAGAGACATGGAAGATGGCCATGGGAAGAGAGAGAGACATGGAAGATGGCCATGGGAAGAGAGGGAGACATGGAAGATGGCCATGGGAAGAGAGAGACACTGAAAATGGTCACAGGGAGATGGAGCAGAGACTGGGGTGAGACAGCTGTAGGTTGAGGAATGCCATTTGCTCACAAACCACTAGAAGTTAAACAAGGGAGGATTCCTCTAAAGGCTTCAGAGGAAACATGGCCCCGCCGACACCTTGACCTTGGACTTCTAGCCTCCAGAACTCTAAGTCAAAAAATTTCTGTCGTTTTAAGCCATCTAGTTTGTGGTGTTTTATTAGGGCAACTCTAAGAATCTATTAAGAGCCCATTTCACCTTTTTCCATCCTATGAAAACACCTAAATAAGCTTAGGGCCTCTGTTACTGTGTTTATTTTCAGATTTTAAAATTGTAAATACATTTCCAGATAAAGCCTGGTTTCAGTGGATAAGTGGTATCTGTGAATGATTACTATTCCTATCTTCTTTATATAAACATTTTATTTTGCTGTTTTTATTTTAAACACTGATATTTTGAAACAATTTTCTAGAAGTTTATGCCCCTAGGGACATTTGACTGGGCAGCTTCTGGGAAGTGAGGGTGTTCAGACTGGGAAAGACTCTCAGGATTGAGAAACATGCTGCCCATCCCCTCACAACACCCATGCCAGACATTACCAATCAATCCTGAGGGCTTTCTGCCTGTACCAGTGGGTGAGCTCAGAACTCCGTTAATTGGCACATCATTGATTGGAGTTGGCCCTTAAGATGAATCCTATTTACCATTACAGGCCTTACTGTTTATCAGGCTTAAGATGTGCTAACTCTTTTTGTTGAATAGATGACCTGAGAATTAAAGGTGTGGGATCAATAAGAAATAGAAATTTTAGTAGATGGTACAGTTGGGAGCATGACATGGAGCTGAGTTTGATTCTAAGTTTTGCAGGATTCACAGATAAAATCTTGGTTCAGCTCCTTACAGCTGTCAAGTTTCTTAACTAGTCTAAACCTCAGTTCCCTCATGTATAAAATGAGACTAGTAGTACCTACTATTGAGTTGTGACGATCACATGATATAATCTATACAAAGAGGTTAACATGCCTGAAACATAAGTAGCAGTTGTTTTACTGCTACATTTATTATTACTGTTATTATTACTGTTAGCTTTGACAGCAGCTCTTGGGAAAAGTACTTTCTTCCATCAAGGCAATACAGCGCAAGCAAAACCAAGCTAGGTCTTAGTCAAACTCAGCTTTCCTTAGATTTCATCAACTTGTCTACACCAAAGAGATTATAACATTAAAAGTCAATTTAATATTGCATAAAGACATGAATGCAATAAAAAAAATCATTCAGATGTACACTTCAAGTGGATGAATTATTTGACATGGGAATTATATTTCAATATAGTTGTTACAAAAGAAACTATTGTCCTAAACCATTTGCTATTTTGTAAAAGAATAAAGGAAGTAAAAAGCAAAACAAAAAAGCAGTTCTACTGATGGGATGCCCCAGCTGCCCACCCACACTTCTGGTCCTTTGCAAAATCTTCCCAAAGTATTCCGAAAGTCCCAAGAAATGTGTGCTCAGGAACAAATCCAGTCATTTTTCTGCCTCAGCATCTTTATTCAAGTTCCCTGCCCCAGACACCACTTGAGGGAGAGACCTTATCAGAGTCACCATTGTTTCTGACAAGAATGCTGTCTGACAGGACTTTAAAGCCACAATTTCCCTATCAAAAAGCTGACCCAGATGCCACCCAACCCATCCCTAAGCCACAGGCACCCCTGAGCGGCCTCACCCAGCCAAGAGTTTAGGTCTCTGGTGAAAGGTGGCTCCTGGTTCTACATCTTTCACCATAACCATTCAAAATTCACCCACAGAGCCAAGCAGAGAACATATATCACACCATCCATTCTCCTACTTCTGACCTCCTTTCTTCCCATGAGGCCAAAACAAACAAAAGTCTTTTGTTTAGCCCTGAGTCTATCAACTAAAACAGACAGATACCAGTGGGTCACCAGCCCATTAGCTGAACAAACAGCCAGACCCTGAGTCCCAGTTGGGTCAGCCGGGTCTTGGAGACACTAACTTACCTACCCAACAAGTGAGTAAATAGATTTGTAAAAAAAAAAAAAAAAAAAAAAAGAAAGGAAAAAATCCCGGTGCAAGAAAACTACTAATCTTTGATTGAAGTCCCTCTGCCAAGTAATTCATTCCACCAGCACTAAGCTTAAGGGTCCCTGCCCCAGCACATGATTGTGCTTATAGGAGGAATAATGATACATTAATTTTTCAGGGTTTTTGATAACTTATCATACAGATACTTGTGTTTATATGTATGACATTTACATATTTATATTTTTAAAATCATGTCAGAATGATTAGAAGGTAGAGTAGGAGGTAGGACCTCAATATAACCATCACCGATGGAATGCCATGATTCATTCATGAAATTCTTTGTGAAAAAAATACCATCATGGAGTATAATAAATAATCAGAAGGATTATTTAATAATTATATGAAAATTACAATAATTATATGACAATTATATAAAATAATAATAATGTGGAAAATTATAAAGATGTTTCTGTTACTTTTTTTTTTTAAGATTTTATTTATTTATTTGACAGAAAGCGAGATCACAAGTAGGCAGAGAGGCAGGCAGAGAGAGAGGGAAGCAGGCTCCCTGTTGAGCAGAGAGCCCGATTAGGGGCTCGATCCCCGGACCCTGAGATCATGACCTGAGCTGAAGGCGGAGGCTTAACCTGCTGAGCCACCCAGGTGCCCTGTTACTTTATTTCTTAATTTGGAAACAAACAGGGAATTATTTCCAACCAAAACCGGGAGACTTTAGTACTCAAGGTTTCCATGCATTTGTGGACATCTGACTTTTTAAAAAAATATGCCAGAGCATAGGTAGCAATGGGCTCAAGTAAGCCTGGAAGGAAGGAAAGCCATGCCCAAGAAAGCAAAGGAAGGAAGGGGTGGTCTGGCAGGTCCCAGCAGGTGACGCTACAAGCAATTAAATAACTCACAAAGTGAGGAGGAGCAGAGATGGAGGCAGGTCATGCCATGGGCGTAAGCCTGCCAGTCTCAGCAGCAAGCAGTCCGCCCAGAGAGTGTGGACCAGTCTGGGGACAGAGGCCAATTGCTCCTGGCTCTGTTTTTAAGCCTATCTGATTTCTACTGTTGTAAGAGGACTTTTCCAGTTGCAGAACATGAATAATCCTATTTCCTTTTAAATGTTTTATTTGGCATTTCATTATAAATGCACATATTTTTAACTGATCATGCTGACTGGGAGATGTGAAAGGAGCCCAGTGTCTTGGCTTGTCCATCAATGCACAAAGATAGTCTGAAGACTAGAAACACGTCTGTCCTCTATTGGAGCTGGGCCAGAGGTAGAGAGACCTTCCCTCTAAGGGAAAATTTATGAACATACCTCCCAGCGAATACAAGTTGTGGCTGCGAGAGATAAAGACATATCACACTGTAGTCAAATGGAGCCCTGACATTAGAGAGGTATTGCAGTCAAACTGTATAATACCGAGATGTAAACACAAAATGTATTTAAACATACATTACATTTACACAGGAAACTGAAAGCTCCCAGTAATAAACCATTTCTGTCTCACAGGAGTTACTTTATAATGAAGAAGCTTAAAGGGCATACATAGTTTTTTGTCTTGTTTGTGACTAAAAACTTCTGCTCAAGGGGTGCCTGGATGGCTCAGTCAGTTAAGTCTGCCTTTGGCTCTGGTCATGATCCCAGCATCCTGGGATCGAGCCCCGCCTCAGGCTCCCTACTCGGCGGGAAGCCTGCTTCTCCCTCTCCTACTCCCCCACTTGTGTGTTCCCTCCTTCACTGTATTTCTCTGTTAAATAAATAAATAAATCTTTAAAAAAAAAAAAAAGACCTCTGCTCAAGACTTTTCTATTTCTAAAATACCACTTCCTCTCCAATGTTGTCTGACTAGCTGGTTTCTGAATCTATGTAGATATAGATCTTGGTAGACAACTAACATGCCATAAAATGAAAAGAAAAAAAAAAAACCAAAAAACAAAAACAAGCGATGACTGACTTCATGGGTGGGCAGCTGGAGTGGATTTAGGTCATGAAAATGTTACCCACAAACCTCACAAAGTCCCAAGAAGCATCAATAGGCATTTGGGAAAAGAGAAGACATTAGATAATTGAACAGGACCAGGACGCATCTTGGAACATTAGCGTGAGATCACTGATGAAAGGAACATTTGATAAAAGCTAACCAACATCCTGACCACTTCTTTCCAAGGAAAAACTATTGCCCAACCTCATAAAAGAAAGAAAAAAGAAAGATCTTTTCCATCGGTACAGATAGTTATATGGCTACCGAACTCTCTCCAGGAACCTAGACTACCCTGGAAAGAATGACATAAACTTTGGGAAAGAGTTGCTTTTATCCCCTATGTGGAATCCTTAAGTATGATTTAACAGTCTTTGGAGAAAGACTTGCATTTGCTTATTTTTTTCCTCACCTTCATCTGCCTTTTCTCATATGATGAGTATTTCTTTCTGCTGACAAATGATACGGCTCATTGCTGACAAGAGGACAGCCACTCCTTTACTCTAGAAAGAATCTTCTCCCTGGTGAACAGCCAAGAGCTTTTGTAAGAGAGGAAGAGAGAGGAAGGAGACTGGGCTTTTTTGGATGTGTTCTGTGCTGGATCCTTGAAGAGGTGCCTTCACATGACTGCCTAAGACAGGCGAGAGCAACAGGACAGCTCACTGACGGAACCCTGGGAAAGTTAGTTCGTCTGAACTTTGGTTTCCTCATCTGTGAAATGGAGATCAGAGTGCTTACTTGGAAGGGACTTTTTACGCTACGAGAGAGTGTATGTCCGATGGCTCACACATGGCCAGCATGTGGGGAGTGTACAGTCACCCATCTCTGTCGATTTCGATTTCATATTTTTGAGTTTTATTTTCATCAGTTCAGAGAACTGCGAACATCACGTCATTATTTCTTTGAAAACTACCCCCTTCTAGGAGACAGGCTACATGGCTTGGCAGTGTTGAAACATTTTATTACTTCTAATATATGATCATGCCTTTGTTTTGGCGAACTTAAAATGCTTGGCCCAGATGGCAAGTTATATAATCAGTATCATTCTCCCGGACTCTGAACTTCTGTTGGACATGAAATATCACTCCCACTCTGAAACCAGCACCCACTTCAGGATTAATTAACTTAGATATTTATGCAGTCATTCATCACTAGAAAAAAAATATATTGTGAGCCGAGTAGCTATGTGTGTGGGGCTACAGCACCAAATGTGTCTCAGGAAAGGCCATCTGGGAATCAAGGGAAAAGAGTTTACCTGCTGGCTGCTGCCTTGTGTGGTTCAAATTCTTGTCCCCCAGGAACTCCCCTGAATTTCTGGTGCACAGGTGCACGGGGATAGGGTGGCTTTGATGGTAGGTGTCTTATTTACCACCTTGTATGTAATAAGTTGGCTCCCTGGGCTAAGCCAGCCCTCTCAGCGATCCTCCTGTGTCTTTAACACATGAGTTTTTCTCTTTGACCTCCCATCTCCAGCTCATGTCTCTGGAGCCTCCAGCTGGTGGCACAGCCTTGTGGACCCCAAACCCTCCAGCTTGCCAGCCAGGGAAAACCGAACTGCTCATAGTCATTTCATTCCTGGCATGCCTGTTTTCTTTCATGGAGGATTTATTTATTTATTTATTTATTTATTTATTTATTTATTTATTTTAGGGCCCTTTCCCAAGATGATCAAGATGACATCCACCTAAAATTAGAGGATATAATTCAACTGGTAAGTCCAGCCGTGGTCTCAACTGTGTGCAGACTCCCTCTCAAAGGCGAGCACTGTTACGGCCATGACTGAGCACTGGGGGCTCCAGCGCCTTTCTCGGTGAAGCACGGTGAGACGACCTAGATTCGCCTCGGGGGTCAGCACTTGGTCCCTGCTGTGAATGCTGGCTGGTATTTCTGAGCCTTCTGACATTGTCTTCGAGGCTGGAATCCCTGAGGGACGTTGTCCTTGAGCGGCTGCGGGCACGGGGTCTCAGCGTGTGTCATCCCCACCTTCCTCTCTTGCAGACAGACTGTCCGAAGGCTGAGTGCTTTGAGACCTTGTCAGCCATGGAGCTGGCTGAGCAGATCACCCTCCTGGACCACATCGTCTTCAGAAGCATTCCCTACGAGTGAGTGCGGCCCTCCCCGCTGCAGGCCCCCTCAGGCAGGCCCCGGGGGCTTAGAGCTGCCATTACTCCTCAGGCAGATGTGTGTGCACAGAGGTGTGAGTCTTAATCTTAGGGTGGTTTGGTCTGACTCCAATGCCGTTTGGTCCCAGTTTATGTTAGAAATATGGCTTTGGAGACACCGGGGACTGTCAGGATGTTTCTTTCCGTGCAGCAGTTTCCATGGAATGGGAATTTCTTTGTATTCTCACCCCCTCGATTATAGGAATGTCACTATGGCTGCAACCGTAGTTCTCGAACTGCGTGGTACCTGCAGTCCTTTGGGAAGCTTGTTAAACATGTACATTCCTAGATATCCCCTTCAGAGATTTGGGTTCTAGTAGGCTTGAGGCCAGGAAAATGGCATTTTCCATGAGAATCCCAGACGCTACTGTGTGATCTGACTATACTTTGAGAAGCACTGATGATGGGTAAAATCTGGGAATTCGGCTACAACTCCTCACCCGCTCCCATGAGTCAACAGGTATTGCTGACCTATGAGACTCTGCGACACAGTGTGGCTAGATTCCCGCTATGGAGTGCTCCCTGAGCGCGTGCAGAGCAGAGCCCTGGGGCGTCAGCTGCCCCATGATAAGTGGCCGTGTCACCGCTTCAGCCTTCTCATGTAGAGCACGAGGGGGCCTGTAGTCCCTTCCCACTGCAAAATCAGGAGCTCCACAAGCAAGGTCTTTGGACAAATGGCTACTGTTGGCCCACGTCCTTGAAATAGCTAAATGAAGGATAAAGGAGAGGCTGGGCAAGAGATACGCATGTGACCCGTGTCGCAGGTAGGGAAGAGGCCATGATGATGCTGGGGGGTCAGGCACGGCAGTGGGCGGTCAGAGAGGCATAAGGGCCCAGGCCAGAAGATGCCCTGCAAGCTGTTCTGTAGATGGTGTATCTTCTCACCCTCCCCATCTCCGTTGATGAATGAGGTTGGGGGGAATGAAAGGTGGACTATTGGCTGTCCAAAAGGACCCAGTGACTACTTGAAGTCTTGAGTTAGAAACCACAAGTGCCATGCATGGGGCACTTGGGAGGGGCTCTGTCAGCTAAGCGTCCGACTCTTGATTTTGGCTCAGATCATGATGTCAGGGTCATGAGATTGACCCTCTGGGCTCAGCCCTGGGCATGGATCCTCCTTGAGATTCTCTCTCTTTCTCCTTCTGCCCTTCCCCAACTTTCTCTCTCTGTCTCTCTCTCTCTCTCCCTCTAAGAGAAAAAGAAACCACAGTGCCTCTCCCCACCTCCTGACGTGCCTCTAGTCTGTGGGGATTCGGGGAGGGGGAGATGAACCTGACTGAGCTCTGTGGAGGAGGAGAAAGAGCAAAGGCCAAACCCCCCACGGTCAGTCTCTTCCTGGGACTCTCTCTTCCTCTCCTCCCCTCCCTGCTGGCTTGGACATCTACCCATTATTTTCATCTGTGGAACTGCCATACCTTTACATCCAACAGCCCTGCGGGAACTTGGAGGAACAAAAAAAACCTTTTGCAGGAACTCACTCCACATTTCTGGATTAAGACTGTGTCAGAGTAATGTCACTTCAGGTTCTCTTTTGTGAAGCCAATACAAAACACTTGCCATATGCCCCAGCTTGCCTGTCCGTTGCTTGCTGTGATCTGGTGGGCTGCTTGGGAGCCAAGGGAAGGGGCAGGGATCTTACTCAGAAGACAGACCTTCCAGCAGGCTGAGCTCCTACCACTGGAACTGCCTTCCCCATATGAAGTGGTAACAAGTGTTTATGCGGCCTTCACCATGTGTCCTGTTCTGGGCTCTTGGCTGAGCAGAGGGAAATCCCTGCTTGAGGATTTGACATCGTCCTGGAGAATATCAGAGCAAAGTGGAGGAACACATGTTGTTCGTAATAAACATTTTTGGTAGTGATGGATTTTTCAGCCCTTCTGCTAAGGCTTAAAATTTTTTTAAGCCGATCCAGGGAAAATAGTCTTGGTTCCTGAGTTAGTACTTAATGCCTTTATTCTTCTTGTGATGGTCATTGTGTTCCAATTTCAGAGGAGCCTTTATCTTGATCCTAATAAGGACAAAATTCCAAACATTTATAAGAGAAAGGTGGAAATTGAAAAATCTTTTTCTTTTTGGCATTGAGTGGTAAAATGCTGGAGATGAGCCAAAATTCTTTTGAGATGGTCAAATTTAATGTATATAATATTTGTACTCATAGTTCAGGATCATGGCCGCCACTTTAAAAACTTAACTGGTTTTCTGTTCTGCTTTGAACTTACAGAGAATTTCTTGGGCAGGGGTGGATGAAGCTGGATAAAAATGAAAGAACACCTTACATTATGAAAACCAGCCAGCACTTCAATGATGTGAGTAACCATAAAAATAAAACTTGGGCATGTCATAGGAAGCTGAGTATCAAGGTCTTACAACTCCTTCCCGAAAATAAAGCAAGTCTGCCCCCCACTTTTTAAACAAAACTATTGAAAGTTTTTTTTTTTTTTAAATCTTCAATCTTCTCTAAGAGCTCACAGTGATGTAATAATTTCTAGTTAACTTCCAGACATGAGAGGTTCACTTCTGATGAAACTCAAGTCTGGTAAATGCTCAATAATGCATAGATTGCTGCTGGTATTGCTGTTACAATCATCATTATATCGTGGTCAAACACTGTCTAGTTGTACTAGCACATGTGTCACTGGTCCCCGGTGGTGCTGGTGACAGTAAGGTTGGGTTAGTACAAATCATCCTCATTATTACTGAACACTCAGCACATATGCATTCCGGGGTTGGAAGGGACCGCTTTGAGCATAATTACAGTGGTGCTGCAGCTGTGCATGCTGGTGACCAGCTGTCGGTCCATCTCCCTACTCTGCTTTTCTCCATCAGTAAGACGGAGCTGCTTTTATACCCACCGACTCCTAATCAGTTCTATTCTAATCATCTTCATCCTTTGACGGAACCGCATATGTGGGAGTATCTTGAGGCCTAGCTAGGCAAAGGGAAGGCTCCCTTTCCGGTTCTACTGAAAAACAATAACAGGGATAATAATGTTAAAAAAGACTACAAGGTTCCCTGTAGGTAAATTAATAAGTCGTTAATTAATTAATTAAGTTGACTTAATTAATAAGTCATTCAGCCTCACAATAAAAAACAACAACGTAGATTCCCAAGACAGTGCTTTGTGCAGGGTACCTGCAGGTTACACGTGTGCTCCATGGATGTTACCCCACGAGGAGCACCCATGCCACTGCTGCCTAAGGGACAGGAAACGGGAGCCCTCCGGCTCCTCTCTGAGAAGCAGAGGCCCTGCTTAGGAAGTGGACTTCTGCTTTCTGTGCCGTACATACACTTGGGATATAATGAACAATCAAATGAGAAGTTCCCTCCCAGGTTCCAGACCCTCACGTCCCCGCTTGGATGGCTACTTGCACTGTGCCTTCAACAGATTGGAATGGGTCTCCTGATCCTTAGTACCTCCCAGACCTGCCCCGCCTAATTCTTCATCTTCCGCGATGTTCTTAGCCTTGGCCCAGAGTGTGTGGCCCAGACCACACACTCACTCACCCAAACAAAGAATTTAGAGGGCATCTCTGACTCTTTGTCACCCACCCCACCTCACTCCCCAATATACGAATGAGCCCGAAATCTACATATGTCCCAGGCCATTTTCCCCTGCTTTCCTACTGCCTTGATTCAACCTTGATTTAACCTTTCATCCTTTTCTCTGAGCGCTCCCACCTCACTATCCCGACTGTCATCTCCTTGCCCCCAAACCCATTCTTCACACAGTGTCACAGAAAAAAAAAAAAAACTTTTCTGAAAGACCAATCTGTTTATATCACTTTCGTGACAAAATCCAGTCAGCGGCTTCCTCTCACCTTCGGGATATAGTCCCAGCGGCTCAACGTGGCCTACAAGAGCCCTGCCTACCGGGCTTCCGTGTCTCTCTCGTGGCTTCCCTGTGCTCCTCAGACGACTGCCAGATCCCCTGTTACACTGTGCCTTCTACCTCCGTCCCTTTCCAGATGGTCTCCTCTGATGAAAAGCAGTGGCTAGCTCCTCCTCATCCTTTAGGATTCACAGCAGGGATGACCTCTTTCTGGAAGCCTCCTCTCTACGAGGCCAGATAACCCCCACGACCTCCATGTCCTCAAACCCCTCCATGAAGACTTAGCTTTGCCTTTCATTATGTGATATTTATTTGTTTGTGTCTGCCTTCACGTTTCTGCCTAACAAGGCTCAGTGGCTTGAGGTCAGGGATGCTGATTATTGGTGTTTCCTGTTCTCAGAACCTAAAATGCCTAGTCCATTCTAGGTTCTCAGTATAAAATACTTTTTTAATGAATATGTACAATTCTGAGACACTGTGAGAGCTATGGAATTGTCCGAGAATCGGTACACTCACTAGATTCAGTGTATGGATATAAGATTACAGACCTTGCATTCCCTTTGTTAGTAATCGATCCTAAACTGTCCTTTCCCTTTCTGTATGCTAAGTGTTGGGCGGTGCCAGCTGCCTCTTTTTCTCTTGGTTTCATCTAATAGCGTAATCGTACTTACCCTTGAAACTATAGGTCCTATTCACTCCGGTGGGGAAAATCCAGCGAGATAAGGAATAAATGTTCTCTCTTCCCCTGTCCCTAAATGTGTCTGACTTGAGACCTGATCAGGTTAGAGTTTGATTTGCTTGGGGGTCAGTGTGTTTTCTTTTTCTGTGGTAATTGGGCCTTCCTGGTTCCCACGTCAGGGGTAAAGGACCTCTTGTGGAGAGGCCCCAAGGAGTGAATCCGTCGTCAGCAAAGTTTGCCATTCCTCTGGAGTTAGCTCATTCTTTTCCATTTCTTCAACAGTTACTATAAATAACTCCCTCATCAAAATTATTCATTAAAAAACAAAAAAATGACCTGTTCCCGCAACATACGGATTCCCAACAGTCCCTCTCCGTTCACTCTGAGGATGAACAGGTTCCCATTGGTTTCTTGTTGCTATTATCATTACTAGACTAAAAGAGACATTTTAGTCTCTTCAGAAAGTTGGTATCTAAATGTGGACTTTGACCTTCATGTCCCTTGCCACCCTATTTTCCTGACATTTCTATGGGTGAGTCAGGTGCTTTGCCTGAATGCATTTCTTGGGCTCTTAGCTGGCCTCTCTTGGCTTTTGCGTTGTCTCAGATGAGTAACCTGGTGGCCTCCCAGATAATGAATTATGCCGATGTCAGCTCCCGTGCCAACGCGATAGAGAAGTGGGTGGCCGTGGCGGACATTTGTCGCTGCCTGCACAACTACAATGGAGTGCTGGAGATCACCTCAGCCTTAAACAGAAGCGCCATCTACAGGCTGAAGAAAACCTGGGCCAAGGTGTCTAAGCAGGTGAGCGCCGGCGTGTCCCCCACCCGCTGCTGAGAGGAGAGGCCGGGAGACTAGAGCCCAGAACCCAGGGAAATATGAAGAATTAGAAAATAATTAACCACATCAAGCAGCTCAGTTGCCAAAGAAAGGTGCCAACGTGGGTAATTACTGTGTTCTTACCACTTAATTCATTCCACTCATGTGCACTTCTAATTGGTTAATTTAGAAAAACAAATACAACCCCAAACATTCATTATAACATATTTGGGGACAACCTCAAACAGTACAGTTGCCAGTCAGAAGTTGTCTCCTAAATTATTTAGAGAAGGCCTGTGAATTCCGAGTGAACACAGCAGTGCCCGGCGGGTGCATTCTTTCTCCTCAAAGTAAACGTATAAATGCCCTAGAGACTCAATGTTCACTGTTGTTGGTTTTTGGTTTTTGGTTTTGGTCATTTATGTAGTAAACTTTTGGCGTAAAGACAAGGTGTGCAGGAGCATTCTTTTTTTTTTTTTTTTTTTTTTTAAGGAGGTGTTCTTAATTTCCTTTTAATGGGACTCAGCTTGTTCATGCCTATTGTTTTCATTCGATTTTTTCACGATTCAAATAAAATCACAGTCTCCCTGCTGCCCTTTTTCCTGGCCTCCTCCCTGGGTGCTGGGGAGGGCTGGGGAGGGCTCCTTTGGGCTTCTGGGAGGCAGTGTGCACTGACTGGTCTCCTGGTGCAGTCTTTTCCTACTTGGTTGCCGGCTCCAGGTCCCCGTGAATTGCCTGCGTGTGGTGTGTGTGTGTGTGTGTGTGTGTGTGTGTGTATGTGTGTGTGGTCTGCCTGGCCTGCCCAGGAACAGGGGGCCTTAGCTGACCTCACCTGCCCTACAGCTCTCACTGGCTCCCACCGGCTTCTCTGAGACTGGGTATGTCCTACCTCTCCTAGAGGCTGTCCTGTCCTTGGTGATCCCTTGTGGGCAGGCTGACTCTTCTTTAGCAGATAACTACCCGGCCCTCTCAAACAGCGTTGGGGGAATTTTCCAGACTCCGCCGTGTCCTCCTGGTGCCAGAGGCAAATTCTTTTATCTGTGATCAAAGCCTGGGCCTCGCCACAGCTTTTATAAGTTCTATTTAAAACAAAACAAAAAAAACCTTTTTATGTTGGGATCATGTAGGTTCACATATAGTTTGGAAGAAATAATAGAAATCCCCTACACCCTATACCTAGTGCCCCCCACAGTAACTTCTTGTGTAACTAAACATCCCAACCACAAAGTTAACATTGGTAACATCACTAACCTTATTCAGACAATCTGTTTTACGTATATGCTCATTTGGGACTGTGTGTGTTTACTGCTATGCACTTTGATCACCCCTGCAGTCAAGATACAACACAGTGCTGTGACCAGGATCCCCCCCTGCCACCTTCCATAGCCATAGCCACTTCCTCCCTGCCCCTTCCCTAACTCTGGCGACCAAAAATCTGTTTTCAATCTCTATAAAATTTTGTCACTTCAAGTGCATTATATAAATGGAATCATATGGTAGATGACATTTTGAGATTGTCTTTTTAAAAATTCCCTAGATCCATTCATGTATCAATACTTCATTTCTTTTTATTGCTAAGTAGTCCTCATGATAGAAATATAGGACATTTTAACCATTCACCCCTTGAAGAACATCTGGGTTGTTGTTTTCAGTTTGGGGCTGTTACAAATAAAGCTGTTAGGCACATTCACGTATAGGTTTTGTGTGACTCTGAGTTTTCGTTTCTCTGGGATAAATGCCCAAGCTTGCAAATGCTGGATCAGATGGTAATTGTGTTTAGTTTTATAAGAAACTGTCGAATTCTTTTTCAGAGTGGCTGTACCATTTTATACTTGTATCAGCAAAGTATAGATCCCCCAGTTTTTCCAAATTCTTGCCCACATTTGGTGTTATCGCTGTTTCTTTTTTATTTTAGCCATTTTGATATCTCATTATTGTTTCAATTTGCATTTCCCTAATGGCTAGTGATGTTAAACATCTTTTCATATGCTGGTTTGCCATCTGTTTATCCTCTTCAATGAAATGTCTGCAGCTCATTTTTTAATTAGTTTTTTTTTTTACCTTTGAGATCTGCGAGTTCTTTCTATATCCCTCCCACTTTATTGTAAAATTATTTTAGCTACTCCAGGTGCTGCGACTTTCCATATAAATTTTGTTAAAAAAAAATCTAAAAACCTTTACTGACACTTTTATTGGCATTTCAGTAAACCAATCAATTTGAGGAGAACTGACATCTTTATTCTGTTGAGTCTTCCAGTCCACACAGTCTGTCTTTCCATTTCTTTAGGATTTCTTTGCTTTCTTAAATCAGCATTTTGAAATTTTCAGCATATAATTTCTGTGTAAATTTTTTAGATTTATGCCTAAATATTTCATTTTCTTTGGAGAAATTTTAAATGTCACTGTGGTTTTAATTTTAATTTAATCAATGTCATTGATTTTTTTTGGTATTTGTCCTCTATCTCCAACTTTGCCAAACTCATTGATCAGTTCTAGGGGCTCTTTTATAGAGTCCCTGGGATTTTTCTACACAGACCATTGTCACCTATAAATAGGAACTATTTTACTTCTTTCTTTCTAATTCATGCCTTTTATTTCCTTTTCTTGCCTTGTTGCTTTAGCTAAACTTCGAATACTATGTTGAATAAGGCTGGTGAGAAAGGACATTCTCTCCTTGTTTTTAGTCTTGTGGGGAAAGTATTCAGTCTTTCACCATTAAGGATCATGCTAGCTATAGGAATTTTGTAAATGCTTTTATAAAACTGAGGAAACTACTCCCTCTTCCTAGTTTTTTGATAGATTTTATGATGAATGGTGTCAGAATACTGTTTTTAAAATGGGCTTCAAACAGCTATATCAGGATCTAAAAACTGGACACCGATACCCTTGTTGTGGCTCACTTTTGCCTCCTCGTAAGGCAATGGTAACCCTTGCCATTGGGCACTGGATACAAAGAGCATATTATCTGGTCACACACACTCTCACACTTCGTCAAGGTCAGTAAGTCATTCCTCAGTCTTCTCTTTCATTCTCTCTCCCCTATTTCTTTTTTCATCTGAGGTTGGTACCAAGGGATTCATAAATCTTTTTAAGAAAATATTAGTCCTGTGAGCCAGCAATTGCACTGCCTGGTATTTACCCAGTGGATACAAAAATGCCCACTCAAAAGGGCTACCTGCACCCTGATGTTTATAGCAGCATTATCAACAATAGCCAGATTATGGAAACAGCCCAATGTCCTTTGACTGATGAATGGATAAAGGAGATGCAGGATGTATGTATACACACACACACACACACACACACACACACACAGTGGAATATTATCCACAAAAAAGAAAGAAATGTTGCCTTTTGCAATGACATGGATGGAGCTAGAGAGTGTTATGCCAAGCAAAATAAGTCAGTCAGAGAAAGACAAATACCATATGATTTCACTCATATATGGAATTTAAGAAACAAAACAGATGAATATTGTGAGGGGAAAAAAGAGAGAGGCAAACCAAGAAACAGACTCTTAACTGTAGAGAACAAACTAAGGGTTATTGGAGGGAAAGTGGACTGTGGAGGGGGTGGGGGGGGCCAAGAGGGGGAGGAGGTAGATTAAACAGGTGGTGGGCATTAAGGAGGTTACTTGTGATGAGCACCGGGTATTGTATGAAAGTGATGAATCACTGAATTCTGCACCTGAAACTGATATTACACTGTATGTCAACTAGCTGGAATTTAAATAAAAACTTGAGAAAAAAAAAAAAGAGGGGTGCCTATGTGGCTCAGTCATTAAGCCTCTGCCTTCGGCTCAGGTCATGGTCCTTGGGTCCTGGGATTGAGCCCCACACTGGGGTCCCTGTTCAGCGGGAAGCCTGCTTCTCCTTCTCCCACTCCCCCTGCTTGTGTTCCCTCTCTTGCTGTGTCCTCTCTCTGTCCAATAAATAAAATCTTTAAAAAAAAAAAAGAAAAGAAAACATTAAACTTCTGTTTTTGACTCAGGTGATACCCATGTCTTTGACAGGATGCAGCTTTAGAGATAACTGACCCTGGAATAGGGGTGATAAGACTGATATTAAATATTTTTTTCAAATTTGAATGTACCACCTGTAGAGGTGTTAAGTAGAATATACCATTTCAATCCCATGAATGCGTCACTCCAAGTGGCTTTCAAAGAAGTGCTAGGCTATCGTCCCGGGCCCAGGACCTGGGTCTAGTCACCATCGGGAGTGCCTGGTTGCAGATATGGCCTCCTTCAGATTCTTTCATCACACCGTCTGCTCTGCGGCTGTCTCTTCTTTAGATCTGAGTCCAGACAGGGAGACATCCAGATGGCATGGTAGACCGGGCAGTTTGAAGCCCACAAAATTCGGTCTGTGGCTCTAGGACAGACTCAATTTGCACAGCTTCTTTCAGCCCAAGGCCAGCTCTGGGCCAGGCAGGAGGCCCACCCAGGCCCCATCCCGTCCCTCTCACCTTGCTGTCCTTCCCCAGGCCTTGCTGGCTATCTTCTTCCAGAGTCCTCAGGAACCAGGGTGGGGAAGGTACCCCTTTGAGTCATTCTGAAAGCTGTCATGAAACGTGCAGCTGTTCCCCAGACCGAGACAGAGTAGTCTGAAGAGTCGCAAACTGGGCATTCCAAGTGCTTTTCTTGCCAGCCCGCCTGGCTATTACCGGGAGTGGGTCATCATCCCCAAGTGCCCCCTTCCCGGTCTCCCGCGTCCATGCGAGAAAGTCCAGATCAGTGTCAACAGCAGTTTTATTTCTTGGAAAATGTCAATTATGCTTTTCTAACAAGTTGAGAAAGATGATCACAAAACAAAGGGTTTGTAGCAGAAGATAGCTAAGGAACCAAATCTGTGTCTTGGTGATTTGGAAATTAACACCCAAAAAGACTGACCGTGAAAACCACCTGACATGAGACCTCCCATTTAAGATTCCCTAAGTCAACGTGTGCTTTATCGATCATTTAAGTCCCTAATTTCTCGTGCATCGCACTTTTTCTTTTCTACACCTTTTCCACTTTTTGGCTAAATGAGCAGTATAGTCACTTTCTCTTCTCCACAAGTTTTTTTTTTTTAAACATCAAATTTAGTCATAATGCCCCGTGTCTGTACTTCAAAAATCATATCACATCACAACGGTCTGATAAAGGCATTAGCATCTGCCACTCTGGAAGGGAACTGAGGATCTCTTTGTCAAACCACAGGAGTGTTTTCACAGAAAGCTAAGTTGTTCATTTCTTTCCAGACAAAAGCTCTCATGGACAAGCTTCAGAAAACTGTTTCATCTGAAGGAAGATTTAAAAATCTCAGAGAAACCCTTAAAAAGTAAGTTTATCTTAATTATTAAGTCATTTATAATTCAGAAATGTATTTTAAAAATGTATACAGTATACAAATAGTGGCTTACCTCCTTCTTGGCTTTGAAAAGAAAAACAAATGGGCAACAACTTCCATCATCTTGGTATTTTCCTGATTTTTCGGGACATTTGAAATATTGTGCATACAGTAAGTGTCCTGTGGACCTACTGGTGGCATGCGGATGATCCCAGATAAGAAGAAAATATCATGATCTTTTACTCTAAAATCAAACCATCTTTTACCATAAAAAGTTTCTTGATTTGGTATTTATTAATCTAAACACAATGAAGAAACTGTGGTTCACAGAGTTTGCCATCATCCCTTAGCAAGTGGTCACGCTGGAACTCAGACCCAGTTCTCTCTGGCTCAAAAGCCTATGTCCTCCAAACTCTTGACTTTGAGAAGACCAAGATACCCCCGATCAAAAAAACACAACAAAGAAGGCATCACTTTAGAATGCAGTGGTGACATTCATTTAGATATTCTAAAACATTGAAATACTAATGAAAGCAGAAAACAAGCTTTACAAGCTCTAATGACATTGATTTTTCTACCCAGTTCTTGAAGATTCCCCCATGCTCTTACTCCCTGAGGCAGCGCGGCCTGTGCATAAGTACCGCAGACAAGTACCGTTAGCACATACTTGGTATTTGTAAGACATCCTGTGGTTTGAACATGCCGTTGTCTCAGGCACATGGTACAACACAGGCTGTAATTTTCTGTTCTATTGTGTTGTGAGATGTACTGAAAACTCATAATATCGTGAGTGTGCTTGTGCAGACAGAATTAAAAGACTTTGTTCTTCAGGGTTGAAGCAGCGTGATGCTTCCTGTGAAACACGGGAGGGGAGTCACTCTTTGTGTGAGTGAGCTTGAGAACAGTGTCTCTTGGTTTTGCAGCTGTAACCCCCCAGCTGTTCCTTATCTGGGGATGTACCTGACAGACCTGGCATTTATTGAAGAGGGAACACCAAACTTTACCGAAGAAGGCCTTGTTAATTTCTCCAAGATGAGAATGGTAGGTGATCATTTCATCAGCAGCCTGTTTCAGTGACGTCAGTGGCTTCGAGAGTAGAGGCTAAGTCACGGAGGTCACTGTTTGCTTTTACATTTTGAGCTGGAAGGGATGGGGGACGCTGGGTTTCCTCGCTGATGTGACTGATCGATGCGATTTTCAGCAGGGGTGTTTCAGCTTGCATGCAGTCTGGGCAAAGGGGTGGGGAATAAAGCTCCAGGAATGACTTCCTGAGACAGGGTAGTGACAGACAGATGCTGAAGGCTTCTTGCTGGACAACCAGGTTCTAAGCACCAAGTTAGAACAAGGAGCCCAAGGTCAGTAACACCCAAGAGCTTGCCACTGCTGGACCTGAGGTCACCCAGTGCCAGCTGTTCCCAATTGTGAAGTCAGTATCTTCTTGCCGTTTGCATTTCATGTGGCTCATGGAAGGGCAAGAAAGCCCTGGCTGGGCATAGAAAATGATAGGGCAGGGCTCTGACATTTCACTGGAGAAAGTGTGTGATGACCTGTGGATAGGGCCTGGAAGAATGTTGCAATACAAGGAAATACTTGGGCTTTGATTTTGTTGTGACTGTTTCTCTCTCAGATATCACACATCATCAGAGAGATACGCCAATTCCAGCAGACTTGCTATCGAATAGACCATCAGCCAAAGGTAACATTGTATGGTTTTTAAGGGAATTAATAAAGGAAAAAGTGAAAATTAATGAATTAGAAACAGTGGTAAAGTGGATTGATAATATCAAAAGCTGACTCACAGGAAAGACCAAGAAAATTGACAAATCTTTGACAACTCTGATTGGGAAATAAAGAAGAGAAAAAGAACATCAGTTTCTCAAGCTCTATTGATGGTATGTTCTATATTTCTATAAATCTGTCTACACCATTACCACCCTGGCCCAGGCTACCTGGTCTGTTACCTGGTCTACTTGCATTCACTCTAGAACGCAAAATCCATTCTACAAACTGCAGCCAGATAGAACTCTCTGGAACATAAAGTCAAATATATTTGTCCCCTGTGTAAAATATTTTATAGGTTTTTTATGCTCTTCAGATATAGAAAGAAAAAGTCTTGATGTGTCCAATAAATCTTACATTACATGGCTCCTTCTTATCTTTCAAGGTTCATCTCACATCATATACCCCCTTTCTTCCTCCATCCCAGCCACAACCAACCCACCCTTCCTTCCTTCCTTCATTTTTCATTTTTCATTTTTAAATAGATATTTTTTTCATCATTTTAGCTTTACAGAAAAATTGAGAGGGTAGTATGGAAGATTCCCATAAAAGTCACAGCCATTTTTTCCTTATTATTTCATGGAACTTGACAAATTTATTGTGAAACTCATAAAGAAGCTCAGATAGGCAAACAAACACCAAAACAAAACACACCAAAAAAACCCGATGGATTTTTTTGAAAAATAAGAAGAGTAAAAAGAGCTTTCACTACCAGATTCAGACACATATCCTGAAACTATAGTGAATAATGCAGGACTACATTGGCATAGGAATACAAATTCAATGGATGGGATATAGTCCAGATGCAGATTTTGTCTATATGAAAATCTAATATGGAATAAAGAAGGCATTTAAAGAAAGTGCCAGAAAGAAATTGACCAGTCCCATAAAGGAAATAGGAATTTTGGCTCTCCATCTGATACCATTTCACACAAAAACATTGAGATGAGTTCATTACCTAAATATAAAAGAGTATTAAATTATTTGAATAAAATATAGTACAAAATATCCGCAATCTTTAGATTTGAAAGAACTTCTTAAGCAAAGAATGTATGAGCTATAAAAAATAAGCTTAATTAAGTTTGCTGCATCAAAATTAAAAACTTTTATTTGGGGGCGCCTGGGTGGCTCAGTGGGTAAAGCCTCTGTCTTCGGCTCAGGTCATGATCCCAGGCTCCTGGGATAGAGCCCGGTATCAGGCTCTCTGCTCAGCAGGTTGCCTGCTTTCTCCTCTCTCTCTGTCTGCCTCTCTGCCTACTTGTGATCTCTGTCAAATGAATAAATAAAATCTTTAAAAAAAAAAAAAACAAAAAGCTTCTGTAGGACAAAATATAGTAATTTAAAAAGCAAAAATAAAACCATTTAGACTAGGAAGTGATTTTTTTTTAAATTTTTTTCTTTTGAGACAGAGCGCATGTGGCTGTGGGGCAAGGAAGGGGAGGGACAGAGGGAGAGAGAGAGAGAGAGAGAATCTTAAGCAGGCTCCACACCCAGCATGGAGTCTGGTGAGGGGCTCATGTCACGACCCTGAGATCACGATCTGAGCTGAAATCAAGACTCGGACACTTCATTGACGGAGCCACCCAGGTGCCCACAGCAGTTGACATGTGTAACATGTAAAACAAAGAGACAGAAGGAAAGTATTCCTGTAAGTCTGTAAGAAAAGTGTACACAACTCAGTAGAAAAATCAGCACAGCTTTGAACAGATGAGGTAACTCACAGAATAAGAATCAAAACTGGCCAGTAAATATTTTTAAAATGCTCAACTTTACTAGTGAGAAGGAAAAAAAAAAATAGAAATTATAATGAGGCATCATTTTCACCTGACAGATAAACAAAATGTTAAAATATTGGTCATAGCAAACGTCAGCATGTGGGATCTACCAGGAACTCTCACACACTATAGGTACAGCACTTTGGGAGGATATCTTTGCATCATCTGTTAAAATTAAAAATTGATGAACTGAGCAAGCGCAAGTCTTCTGCTTTGCTGGTGGGAATAACGTGGCCCATCCTCTTTAGAAAACTGTGCCTGCCGTGTGGATATTGCTTGAAACATTAAATATGCATCTATCTTATGACCCAGGAATCTCTCTCCTAGGTATTTCCTTGGGGCAAATGAAAACAGGCCCACTGCAAGTCTTGTATAAAACATTCCTAGCATTTCTTAATAATAGCCCCAACCTGGAAACGGCCCGGGTGTCCATAAATAGATGAAAGGATCAACAAATGTGGTGGATCCGTAGGATGCCATGGCATTCGGCAACAGCAGGGCAGGCTAGTGGTAGACGCCACAACATGGAAGGACTATGAACTGTTACACTGAGCGGAAGAAGCTAGACACGCAAGTATGGACTGTGTGCTTCCACTTCCATCAAAGTCTCGAGCAGACAAAACAAATGCATGGTGCTAGAAATCACAGCACGGGCCGCTCCTGGGAGCAGACTGACGGGGGATCGGAAGGAGGGAACTTGTTGGAGTAGGGGAATGGTCCTGAACTGTGATATTTATGCTAAAACTAATCCAACTATCCATTTTTCTTACAAAAGTTATATCTCAATAAAATTAAAGCAGTGTTTCCACAGAAATCCTTCAGGCCCCAACATTTTTATTTTAGTGTGATTTCCTTTCATTTGACTGCTAGCGTCCACCCCCAAAAGAACATTCCCACGTCAGCACTAAGCAAATGTGCTAACAGGGATTTCACTGTCGCTTTGTGTAAGCGTGAAATATTGACAGCAACTAAGCACCCATCAGTAAGAGATTGTTAAATGCACTCGGGGAGATCACATGTTGATGTTGTCCGGCAGTTCACATTCTCTGTGCTGACATGGGGAGCTCTCCCTGACCTACACTGAGGAGACGGAAGCGGAATAAGATGTACCTGAGAATTATAAGGGAAGAAAAGATTTCTATAAGGACATGTAGTATCTAGAAAGACAGAACACTCTGGAGAATACAAACCAAATGATAACAGTGGTGCCTCTTCAGGGACGTCCCTGGGGTGAGGAGCTGGGAGACGACTGGAAATGTATGGTTCTCCCTTCCTTCTCTTCCTTTCCTTCCTCACTTCTTCCCTTCCTCGCCCCTCCCTTCCTCTTTTCTTTTTTTTTTTTTTTTTTGTACAATGAGAATATATTCATGATTTTTAAAACCGTGATATAACATTTTTAAATGTTCAAGAGAAAATGTTGAATTGTGTCAGATTCCGTTCAGAAAATGTGCGCACTCATGTTCTGAAAGAACCCAAAGCGAGGATTTCCCTGTTCCTCCAGGTCACTCAGTACCTGCTTGACAAAGCCCTCATCATAGATGAAGATACGCTGTATGAACTGTCACTAAAAATTGAACCTCGGCTCCCTGCTTGAAGGTCTGGCTTCGCCCCTGAGTCTGTAGACATCTCCTGGAAAGCGGGCCGGACGGAACTGTGCATGCCATGCTTCCCACAGCGCCGTGAGGACCGGGGACGGAGACCAAGCCAGTCTCCTTCGTGCACCGAAGAGGATGGAACGGACCTGGAATTCTGTCTCCAGCCAGGGAAGCCCAGCTGTTTGGGGTCAAAGACAGATGCTTTCAGACTTGGGGTGGGAAGGAGAAAAGATTGATCCTCAGTAGAGCTGATGGTGCATTTTTCATGAGGGAATGTAATATAGGAGATGCTGGGAGGCATTTTAAGGAAGCAGGTAAGAAGGTCGGTTTCCGAGTCCGCCCGGGCTCTGTTAGAGCTCGCGGACAAGGATCCTGGAAAAGGCTGTTCGTCTGGCATTTCGCTGGCCTGGGTACACCTACCAACCTTCTCTTAGGTTTTATAACTGCCTCTGTCACATTCTCTGTATTACCAGCTTCCAGAACAGCCGAGGCTTCCTCCGTAGGGATGGGCCCCCACATGAGCAATTTCAGTCTACAGCATGTGCATGGTTTTTAGTGCATTCTAACTACTTACGCTGGAGGAATGGCATTTCTGAGACTGCTTTTTTTGGTCTTTAGGCAACAGCACAGGAAAGACACGATGACAGCCACGTGAATGTAACTTTGTTAACATTTTTAAAACTCGGTAGCTTTGCCCCGGGGGATCCCAGCCAGGGGCTGTCTTCAGGTGGGGTAGGGGCTCCTTCCTGAGGCTGTGGGGCCCAAGGAGCCGGTGCTCTCAGAGAGGCAGGTGCAGAGTCTGCAGAGAGAGGCCTGCACGCCTCTCCAACGACACTGTGGAAGGGGACAGAAGGCCACAACCTTGCCACAGGGTTTTAGGCTGAGTGATCAGACAGACTTAAAAATCATCTCTGCACCTTGCTGTGCTCTTTCCCTTCACCCTCCCCACAGAAATGTGGGATTTTTTCCTGATTTACACAGACCATTTTTACGCTCACTATGAATACAGGTTGTATTTTTTAAAACGTTTCGTGGGGTTTTTTTTTTTTTAAACCTACACGTCTGTGTGCTGTTGGTAGACAGTTCTTCCCCAGTCATCTTTGTTTTTAAATTTTGGGATATTTATGAGTGAAAATATTCTATGTGTATAGGAGATGGGACCAACCACTTTACAGCTCTTCTCTCTGAAGACTCAACGCGGGGGTTAGTCTGTGCTGGGGAAGGGACCTTCCTTTTCCCAGGATTGATGGTTGTGGAAGAAATAGGGCTATCTCACGTTTACCTCCCTCTTCTCTTCTCAGGGAGAGCTCTGCTTTAAAAGAAGAAAGAGGAAAAATACAGAGTTGTTGTTACCTGAGCCTCTTGTACCTGATGATTTCTCTTAGGAGCATGAAGTACATTGATTCTGACATTGAAAAAATTGATCTGTCTCGCTGTTTTCCCTCCTTCTTTGCACTTTAATGATCTTGTTAGAACTAACGGCTGGTTAATAAACTCAGCTTGCTGGCTCATGAGGCCCAGTGAAAGCACTAGCGTTGATAATGTACCCTAGGCGGAAGGAATGTACATTTTTCCTGCATGGTAAGGGCCATTTCTGTACATAACTATATAGTGAAATACCAAGTAAGTAAAAGAAAATACTTCTAATATTTGAAGACCATTCCAAAAATACTTTCAATAACTCATATTAGCCAACAGTGTAGCACTAAACCCAAGGAGGTTACTTATGAATGCTTTCTTTTTTTTTTTTTTTTAAGAAGTTGCTTGTTTGTTCTTTTTAGTCTCAAATGAGAGGTTGATGCATCGTGACGCATGATAAGAAGCATGGGTTGTTTGGATCATAATGATGCATAACTTGCAACTTGTATCTCAGTGTTCACGTACTGAGGGTTTGAACTCATATATGTCAGCTTCACCAAGCATCTCGAGGTCTTGCCGAAGAAAAGGAAAATAAAGCTTAACTTTCTTGGCTCAAAAACACGGTCTTGGAAGGTGGACTAAAACCCACGAAAAATCAATGGCAGCACCACACACATAGTAGTTTCAGGCAGAACAACATGTGGAAAGGTCCATGCGTTCTGCTTTGAAGTCCGCAAAGTCTTCCAGACGGGAAGAGGTCATTCTGCGTGTGGACCCTTATTTGTCCGACGCAAATGTTCCCAGAGGCACTGCAGCCCTTCTTACTAAAGAAAGATGAGAGAGAGAGGCGTTTCCAAATGCTCCTCCCCTTTTGGAGCGCCAGGGTTTCCTCAGCTAGTGACAAAGCTGTCTCGCCAATTTCCTGCAGAATGTGGGAAGCGCCCCCCAGTGGTAAGCTACGGGCACCGTCAGTTGCTATGGTGACCGTTAGCGTTCCCTTGAGGTACACGCCCCTCCTGTTTACTGGAGTCTGAAAGCTTGCTGGAACTGCAAAAAGAAAGAACTCTACCTCCAAGGGAGCTCCTTTTGATGATATGCACCATTTCTGGACCATCTGGGATAAGAATGTGCATTTAAAAAATTCAATTTGGTCACATTTAAAATAGCCAAGAGCAATTTGTAGTGCTTCTGATTGTTAAAGCACCCATCTTCTGCCTTTCAAGTTTGTGTTTATTGTTGGAGCATGCACTCCCAGCTGTGTCTGCCTATATTCCATTATATGAGACCCACTTCTAAGAGCAGAAGGCAGGTCAGCCCGTCAACCAAATGGCAAACACTTGTATTGTTGCAAAATTAACCTAGAAAGTCAGAAGTAAAAGCCAATTTCATGCTTTCAGATGAATGCCCTCATTTTGTACTGTAGATGAAATTATCTTGGGACTTTTAGGAGATGCCTTCGGTTATTAACTAAGACATCCAGTTGTGCTGCAGGGACAAATCTCTTACTTAAGCCAATACAATATGTGACAGGTTTAAGCATGAAGTACAATGTTGTCACTTCTCCTTAGTGTTTCTCTGAAGGAATTTAAAGAGAGAATATTGAACTACTGTTGCAATATTTTAAGTGGCTCTCCAACAAAGCTCCCATTACTATTTGTTAGATTTCATATGTCTTAAAGTACTGCTTAAAAACAAATGAAACTCATAGATACTGAATAACTTGGAAGAGAAAAATACGTTACATTCCCATTTGGAGTATACGATGATGGGCTAGCACCTCTTCTCTCACTGTATTATACAAGATAAAAACTTGGGTCGGCAATGACTGGGTCACTTTTAAAATTCTTAACTTAAAAAGTAATGCAATAGAGGGGTTATTCCCCCCCCAAAATAACTTTTATTTTAAAATAAAGGATTTTATTTAGCTTTTGTTTGCAAAGTTTTATTTTATTCCCCCTGGGAAAAAAATCTTTCTCTTTGCTTTAAAGATTTTTTTTAATCCAGACTGTGATGTTTTATCATTTTTACTGCTATTGAAATAGGATATACTATATGTGGGATATATATTACACGGTGGAATAAATTATATACTATTTATGGCTAAAGAATAGAGCCAGGCTAATGTGCACAGCCAGAAGGAATAAATGAACATGGTTCATTTTCATTTCAGTAAGACGGCAGATTGTACGTGTAGATAATGACTTAATTATTGGTGCCACTATGTGAATCCTGGTAATAAGACTTGAGTCAATGAAATCTAATCACAGTGTCATTTTTCTCCATGGCTGTAAGTGACTTAAAAATCAAGGAAGGGCAGAGCTAGGGTAGAAAACAACTATTTTGTTGAAGGTGTAAACACAGGGATGATTGAGAAAATTATTCATCTTGGCCTCCGCACAGCCTGCCATTAACTGTAGGGCTGATTGTACTTGATCTCATCTGCCCAAGAAAAAAGAAGAGTTATACAGGATGTTGAACCACGGTCTTTCACACAACCCACTTCGTTCTTCCCTAGAAAGGTAGTCATGAAAGAGCTGGCCAAGGTGCCCCGGCCAAGTCCGAGGCCCGGATGTCCACCTGCGAGTGGGGAAACCTTAGGTCAGTGCTAAAACCTCCTCGAGCCCGTTCCCTCATCTGCAAAATGGAACTAATCGTGATTCCTGTGCCGCCTACCTCACAGGGCTGTCGTCAGGACAAAATGGGTTAGATTGTGAACTGTAAAGTGCTATCCAAATGTGAGGTAACGTGATTACCATCCTCATCTCTCTTTGGCAGAGAATTATTTAAATGTATTTCTTTGTTATTTGTGTGTGTTTGTGTGTATGATGGACAGACCCGTGTGTTACTTTGAGAAGCGTAATGTTTGCGTCCAGTAACTTTGCAAATCTGCTGACAATTGTGACTCTGACAGAGAGGTTTGTGCTGTGGCCTAACACTTGCCAGGTGGGGTGTGGGTTATACCTATATGCAAATTAAATTTCGCCTTTCTTGATTCGAAAATCTCATTAGTCTCTTCATTGATTTTTTTTGCATTCTTCTACCTCGTCTTCTTTGTAGCAATGGGCTTCTTCAGATATTTGTTTACTTCTAAAGTTCAGCAGGAAATAAAGTTTGGAAGAAGCCCATGTTGCGGGCACTAAAATATCAGAGAACCTTGGAAAAAATATCAAGGGCCGTTGGCCCCACTGTCTCTCCAGCGCTTGAATCTCTCCTGTGACGTCCCCAGCCCATGTTTGACCACCTTTCAACACCCCAGGCACATAGAACCTCATTCCTGCCCAAACAGCCCGGTTCATCGAATGGCAGCTCAACCCCCATGCACAGGTTGAGTGCTCGGGTGACCTGGCCCAGCCATCATTCCAACCTCGGATGGGCTACTGAGCCATTTGAGGCCAAGTTCGTCACCTAGGAAATAAGATACATGTCTGCCCTTACAATGACTGCAATGGCTACATGGAATAATGTCGATAAAAATACTCTAACTGTAGTCAAGTCAATGAAGTCGTGCTAACATTTCGGGCTGAAGAGAGCATGATGCAGCTGTCGTGCACAAGTGAGAAGTGAGGGGAGAAAGGATTGGGGCATCTCCTATTTCCTTGGCTTCCCTTTCCAATTCTGAAATGAGCAATCAGGCTGGTGGGGATTCAGGAACCCCACACAGCATTGCCCTTGCCTGGCAACACATCCAGCCTTCAGCTGGCCTCAGGAATGGGAAAGAGTGTAAGCCGGGGACAGATTTCCTCTCAAGCAGGTGACATGGCAGCTGCCAGCTTCCCTTCTGTTCCTGTTTGTATGGCAAGAGCCAGCTTCATGGCCGCACTGGCTACTGGGTGTCTAGAGAGCCCGTGAACTTGGAGTTGGCAGCGATGAGAAAGGGATAAACGGCATAGGACAGGGATCAAGTATGAAGGAATTTAGCAACTGTGAAATTATGGTGAGCCACTTGTCACCCCTGTCGTAAGCTTCAAGATGGCCCGGTCGCCCAAAGAAAAGTGACACCCTGTATTCTCAGCAATGT